TCAAAACCACCTAATCCAAAGCAACCTGATGTGTTTGCTAGGTATAACATTATGTGGCAGGTTAGTTACGTTAACAATTTTCTCCATGTTCAAAATACTGTCATCGACTAGTCCCTACAATTCACACTTTGAAAGACAATTTTCGATAAATAAAATCTGAAAAATCGAAATTTGCCTTATATTGTGTCCGTCCCTCCGTTCCCGGGGTGGACTAATGACAGAATCCTTGATTTTCCTTCTATTCTAAGCCCATGTTAGTTTTATTTCATTTATTGAAAGGTTCTCTTATGATCACCTTTTTGGAAATCATTATTATTGAAAAAATAAATTTTAATTTATATTTAATTAATTGTTTAATTAAAATAATTTATATAATATTAATAATAAAATTAATTTTCATATTTATTTTTTTATATTAATTAATAAAAAATATATATTAATTATATTATTAATTTATATCTTTAAAATACATGTTAAAAAAATTATATATTAAACCAGCTCTAGGCCTCTAGCATAGTAAGATAGATGGGCCTTATTCATTGAACCTTAGGTTCAATAGGTATCAATTAAAGGACTAAGCCCAGAACGTGTCTCAAAAGCCCAATTTAATTTAGCAAAACCCACTATAAAACTCAACCCACAAACCAACTCAATCCGCAAACCACCTCACCAGAAATCAATCGAATCCTTGGCTTACTCTCCCTTCTCTTCCTCCACCATCTCCCCCTCGTCAGCACATTCCGGTCTGTTTCCGGTGTCGGTATTAACTACGGAACTCTTGGAAACAACCTTCCTTCACCCAAGAAAGTAGCTCAGCTCCTCCAATCCATCCTACTCGATAAGGTCAAAATCTACGACACCAATCCGGAAATCCTCGAAGCCTTCTCCAACACGCCGTTGATCTCATAGTGGCCGTAGAAATCCAACATGTTGCCAACATCAGCACCGACGTTTCCGCCGCCGACGAATGGCTTGCCACCCGTGTCGTCCCCTTCGTTCCCGCCGCCTCCATTGCAGCTATCTGTGTCGGAAACGAGTACTTGGCAACGAATTCCGGTGACGGCCATTTGGACCCCGACGCACTGGTCCATGGCAATGCAGAACCTCCATTCAGTGCTTGTAACTCGTGGGCTCGGCCGAGAAATTAAGGTCACCACGCCGCACAGCATGGTGGTTCTCGCCTCCTACTCTCCACCGTCAGCTTCCACCTTTGCCCCAAATTTCGTCGAACCCATGAGCTCCGTTATTGGGTTTTTGCCAACACCGACGCGCCGTTATGATTAATGCTTACCCATATTTCGCCTACAGGGAAAACCGCAGTGCCGTCGATTTAGAATATGCTTTGCTCGGAAATGCTACCGGCGTCCATGACCCAAAAGGGTACATCTACAACAACATGCTGGATGCTCAAATTGACGCAATTAGATTGGCAATAAACGCTCTGGGGTTCGGTAATCAGACGATCGAGATCACAGTTTCCGAGTCTGGGTGGCCGTCAAAAGGGGCGCCTGGTGACGCTGCCGCCACGCCGGACAATGCAAAGAAATATAAAACTCGGTTGATCGAACGAGTACAGTCCAACAAAGGGACAAACTAAGTTTTCTAAGGTCTATCCTTTTTCTTCAAGAATCCCCAGAGGCACCAAGATTCCATCTAAGTGTAGAAAAAACAGAGTTGAACAAAAGCTTTAAGGTGAATATTCTTTGGGGAATTCAATCTAACACCTGCTGGGCATAAACAGATATTGCAAGTGAAGCAAACCAGAGGAATGTAAACTCAAGCCAAATTGGAAGAGGAAATTCATCTGTTCATATTATTCCAAAAAGAAAGAAAACGACCTTACAAAATGGGCTTAAAAACAACTAACTTAAGCTAGAAATTAGCAACCACTTAGCCACTAAAAACAAATAAGATATGCACTGCTAAAAATAAGAAACTCAACTGCACGTACCCAACTAATTCCTAAAGAATAGGACAATAAAACAGATAATGGAAGACTTATTCAACACTAAGAGCAGCTCCTTCTCAACCCAATGCATTTCTAAGGTCTATCCTTTTCTTCTTGGTTTTCTCTTTTTCCCTTAAGTTTTCTGGGATATTCATTTCTGATTTTGTTTTGCAGAGGCTAGAAGTAGCCAAGTTTCTAGTCTCCGTTCCAACTCTTGCGTGAATATCCTACAAATGCCAGAGGAACTTCTTTTTTTTGAGGTGGTGGCTGCTCAGCTTACTCCTAAGGTTGATTGCCTACTTCAGCCTTCTAATCTTTTCTGAATTTTCTTTCTTGTTTTATGCTTGCGCACAGAGATTAGACCAGTCATAGTAATATCTTTCTAAAAAAGGTCAGTGCTTTCTTGCAATATTCGGCACAATTAAGCTGTTCTGGAGTTCTGAGTCCATATAAACACTTTGTTTGTATATTCTTTTAATAATCTCATCTTTTTTTAAAAAAAGAAAAAAAGAAAAAAAGTAAAACTATTGATCAGGTCTTCTGAGCTTTGGATTAGGCTGCATGAAAGAAACTTTCCCTGCCTACAACTTTTCATGAATTTCATCTTCTATGAAAGAAAAGGCGCACCATCCTTGTGAATAATCAGCTATCTTGTAAAAATATACAAAAAAACGTACAAAGTGCTTTCAACATGAACCTTATGTTCCTAAAATATAGTTTGTTGTGAGGCACCATTGTTGTGGTTCTGACTTCTGATGGGTATTTCCAAATTTAGACAGTAGCATCAACTCCTGTCAGGAGAGAAACAGTTGCCAAATTGAAGGTTGCAATCAATGGATTTGGACGCATTGGTAGAAACTTCCTTCGGTGTTGGCATGGCCGGGAAGACTCACCCCTTGATTTGGTTGTTGTTAATGACAGCGTTGGTGTCAAGAATGGAAGTAACTGACAGTTTCCCTGACTATAGTTAACATTAGCATGTGATATTAATTAGTTACATTCATCAACTTATGGTGTGCCATAAAAACATAGGCTTCACACTTGTTGAAATTCGATTCAATGCTTGGAACTTTCAAAGCAGAAGTCAAAATTGTGGATGATACAACCATTAGTGCTGATGGCAAGCCAATTAAGGTTGTCTCTAACAGAGACCCTCTCAAGCTTCTGTGGGTTGATCTTGGCATTGACATTGTCATTGAGGTGGGTTCTTGCACCTTCTTCTCATTAATTGCAGTTCTCTAAAGCATAATTTCTCTCACCAGCACAAATACTTTGGGTTCCAGTTTCATAGTAGATCTTTTCAACAACTCTACTGGATTACTAAACTATGCAAAGGGATGGAAAATTAATTAATGACAAAATTTTAGTAGTCTTTTTAGATGACTGGAGAAGTTCATATGCATTCTTCAGGGAACAGGAGTTTTTGTGGATGGCTCTGGAGCTGGGAAGCACATTCAAGCTGGTGCTAAGAAAGTTATCATCACTGCTCCAGCAAAAGGTGCAGACATTCCAACTTATGTTGTTGGAGTCAACGAAGGTGATTACTTTCACGAGATCTCAAACATCATAAGGTTAGTACGTCCAAAGAAAGTTGATTGCTCATAAAGCAGTTTGAAAATTTTTTGCTAATTCTTGATGCTGTAATTTATAGGTGGATCAATTTTGGGAATTGCAGTAATGCCTCTTGCACCACAAATTGTTTGGCTCCTTTTGTAAAAGTCATGGATGAAGAATTGGGTAAGCACTTCTTCACATTCACTCAGATGTTAGCTCATTCGGTTCAGGCAAATTTCATATAACCACAGTAATGAATTTTCTTTGACTTCATTGAAAGTTTGAAACTGATGTGCAGGAATTGTAAAGGGAACAATGAAAACCACCCATTCATACACTGGAGACCAGGTACCTGCACTCACCAAAATACTAGGATGTAGAGCTTAAGCTAATTCAAAGAATTCTGAATTCCAAATGAATTCCAACTGCAAAAGTTGGAGATTTATTTTAACAAAGAAGGCTAAATTGCTTCTTATGATCATCATGCAGAGACTTTTGGACGCTTCACACCATGACTTGAGGGGAGCTAGGGCTGTAGCATTAAACATAGTCCCAACAAGTACTGGTGTAGCCAAGGCTGTCTCTCGTGTTACCCCAGCTCAAGGGCAAGCTCAATGGTATTGCACTCCATGTATCAACACCAAATGTTTCAGTTGTTGACCTTGTTGTGAACATTGAGAAGAAGGGGATTACAGCTGAGGATGTCAATGCTGCCTTTAGAAAAGCAGCTGAAGGGCCATTGAAGGGCATATTGGCCGTCTGTGATGTTCTTCTTGTGTCAGTGGATTTCAGGTGCAGTGATGTTTCTTCTACCATTGACTCTTCACTAACCATGGTAATGGGAGACGACATGGTTAAGGTGGTGGCCTGGTATGACAATGAATGGGGATACAGGTTAGGATACATTCCTAAAAAACTTTCCTGTTTCTAGCTACAACCATATTTGTGCCTTACTAGTCAGTAACATGATGGGTAATTGCAGCCAAAGGGTGGTTGACTTGGCACATCTCGTGGCAAGCAAGTGGCCTGGAATGCCTGCTGCAGGAAGTGGTGATCCCTTGGAGGATTTCTGCAAATCAAACCCTGCT